CCTTAAAATGGACACAATTTGCACTATTTCTGGCAGTCTGCAAAGGCCATTGGTCACCCAGTGGGTTTCATGGCCAAGCTGGGAATCAAACCCTGGTCTTCAGAGTTGCAGTCCAGTGATCAAACCACTACACCACCTGGGCATCGCAGATGCTGATATGCTGCTCTAATTCCACTTTTCAAGCCTTATGTGATAGTCCTTGGTGTCCCAGTGCTATTTGTGTGTGCATTTAAATTAACAAAGCAATTGAGAGTGAGCTAAAGGAGAACAACATGCTGAATCAGTTAGCTTCATTTTAGACAAAGTCAAAATGTTGATGGTGAAATGGCAGAGCCAACACTGGCTTCCAATGGATTTTTACAGTTTCACATTAACCTCTGTGTAATCACCTTCTCTTTTGGAGTGCTTTGAAATGATGAAAACCTTTTTAATCAGAAACAAGTCTAAAGAAATATGTATGTACAATGCAGGCAATGATACTACCAGTTTATAACCTTTTAATTGCCTGAAAACAATTGTTTCTTTCTAGTTAAACATTATGTCCATACTGTTGCTGGACTTTATATAAGAAATTATAAAACTACAAGTGGGGAAATATGTGCTTGGTCTAATGTCGGTTGAAAAGGTGCCTCGGGCCTCCAAATGCAAATACTTGGCATTCTTTTCAAACTGTAAGAAACAATCATGGTTAATGGTATGTCAAAGCCCTATGTTGTTTGGTTAGGTAGCCTGCAGATTTTTTATATACCTGTTAGATGGAGAAAATATTTCACTGCTCATTCCTCCATTCCCATAGGAAAAGTTTCTCAAACCATTAACAAATGTATGAGTCTCGTGAGGAATCCTGAGAAATGTGATCTTTAAGATTTCTGCTGTGAACCAACCTAATCCACCTTACAGCCTTAATATATGTAGATCAGAACTGACTATTACTTCATAGTTTGCTGTTATCTAAATTTCATGTTGTACTTCTTTCAGATCAAATAAAATACAAATATGCATTTTAAAATATATATTCAATGAAAAAATATATGAAATCATACATCAAGATAATATATACATTAATAAATGTATACTTCATGAGAAAATATTGTCAAAATACAACAGATATTTCCATAAGGAATTTTAAAAATGTTTTGTTTTCCAGTTCCCTGTGTTTGGCTAATCGAGTGGGATATGACAACAGTCTGACAGAAAATGGGTACCCTTCCTAGTTTTTTTTTCACAGACAAGTAAAGACATTTCTGTTCCAACAGGCATTTGATGAGTGACTGTATAAGGCCCATCTCATCTAAATAATGCACTTGGTCTTGCTAATTGTTGTGTTGGGGTGTGTGCATGTTTCATACTGTATGTTTTAATTTGGATTTGATTTTTACCCATCTCATTCTTCAGTGGATCTTGTCCCACACTTGGAAAGGCTTAGTAAGGTTGACATTCCAAGCCCAAAGATAAAGCTATCACAATGAATATCCACCTACCCCACTTTATGTCTTTTCTAACATACTACATCAAATACATAACATGCAGCTAAGCACTTTTTTCCTTACTTAACTGTGGATCAGGATCTCTATTTGGTGGTAAGAGAGATTTAAACCTGTGTTCTCCAGCAATTCACTTTCCTAGGTCTCCTCCCAACTCCCAGTCATAATAAAAAATAAATAGAAGAGCTTCTATCAGTGCAAATCAAATAGGGGGCTATTTTCTTTCTGTACTTTATTCTTCCCATGTGTGCTTAGTAGCAATCTGAATCAGAAAACCCTATGTGCTTATTTGTACCCCACCGTCCTGTAACACAAGAATATCTTCATAAGCCAGGGGCATGTCATAGAGCTGTCCCACAGCTGATACAGAAGCTTCTAGTTGCACAAGAGAGCTTAACTAAGATTTCTATCCAGTCTGTGTTCGTGACTCTCCTGCAGACATACAGAGCCTGGGAGAAGTTGGACTCTTGGCTAAGTCATCTTGCGTGACAAGTAGGGGTGTGGGAGAGGTGGTTTTAGGTCTTCTCCTCAGCAGTCCTTCAGCATCTGTCTGTCAAAGTAAATGTTGGCCTGCTTTATTGGTCATGTATTCGTCATTAATGCCTGGATGGGAAACCGCCAATGAATACCAGGTGCTGTAGGCTGTATTTCAGAGGAAGGAACTGGCAAAACCACCTCTAAGTATTCCTTGCCTAAGAAAACTCTATGAAATTCATGGGGTCACCATAAGTCGACAAGAAACTTGAAGGTACATAACACATATATAAACACACATTCACCATTCCGTGGGTTGCTTTGATCCCTTCCTGAAGTTTTGCTGCAAATATTCCACTTCTGTGACATAAAACAGAATTACAGAATTAATGAGTGCAAAAATCACTTTATTTTGTTAGCCTCACAATACAAAGTTAAGAAATGTAAGCAAATAAATATTAAGGTAAGGTGGATGCAGAAAATAATGAGTTTGTTAGATCTCTCAAAGTAAAAATGCCAAAACTGAACTTGTGATCCCTGTCTTCTGCATGCAAGCATGTGTTATATTACTGAGCTTTGCAGACTGTATTTCTTGATTGGGATTGGGGTGGTAGAAGGAATTCAGTTGTACATAAAAATGTTCTGAATGTGCTCAAAGGCTCTTATACCAGTCAGAATTCTACCCTTGGATCAGTGGCTGATATTTGTAGCTGCCCCTTTATTGCTGTATGTACCATGGATCAGTGCCCTGTAATGAAATAAATCACTACATATTATCTTTTAACAAATAAGGAGTTTGAAGAGTCTGTGAAATGCCCATGTTGGTGGAAAGAAATGAGATACATTGAGGAGCTTGTAAGATGAGATTCTGTTCTTTGGTATAGCCTGTTCCAACCTGACATTTCTCAGACTTGTTGATTCACAGCATTCCCTGGCAGCAAACATATGGTGGGCTTTATAGTCCATGTGTGTGGGGGGGGGGGG